AACCCAACAATCCTGACAGTAAAATAGTAAAATGAACGTGATAAGACCATCAATTACTTATCCATGGGTGCCTTTTCTCCCGTACTCTAATAAGTAAAGGTATTTAAAAAGTGAATTAATATTACTCTGTTCACCTCCCCTGTGGCTACCATTTTCTTTTTGGCTAACGCTTACCTTGGTTAGAACGTTCAAAATCTTTGGTCATTGTGTTGCAAGTGCCGAAAAAACTCTTACTGAAGCAGTATAAGAAAGGGGTATGTTTGGTCTGGTTACCTGAAAATTAATATGAATTTGGAGTGATGGATCTCTCTATTTTACTCTAATTTCTTCAGGTGGTTGGACTTTTGCTTCCCAATCCAAGCATGGCAAGCATTATCTTCTGGCAGTGGTTGAACCAGAGCCACAATGCTTGTGTCAACTATTCAAATAGAAATGCAACAAAGGTCAGTGCTTTTTTAGCTTTCTACTTTAAACTGTCAATTTATTTTTAATTGTATAATCTTTTTCATGTATTCATGTAGGTAGGTTTACGTTCAAGACTGAATTGATGTTGTTTGTTTTGTATACCTAATGGAAAACAAAATTAAACGCTTTCTTTTTCTTCTGTTGGTCAAGTTAAGTGCCCTACTAGACTGACACTGTGTGGATAATTTTAGTATGTAACTTGATAAGACTCTGGATTTGAATTTGAACAGAAAATAAGCATTTCAGGAAAAGTGAAAAGTTGAACTTATCCTTCCCCCATGCCCCTTCCCCCCCGTCCCCCCACCCCAAGATTCTTGTCTCACACTTCAATGTCTTGGTCCAGTGAGATGCTTGATTTCTGTGTTTTAATGTTTATATGCCTCTTTTTTTCTTTTTTTTTTTTTTGCTCACAGCCAACTCCTCTGAAGCGGTTTCTTATTGGCTATGTCGGGGCTGTCGGCACTGCAGTTTCAATTGCGGTAGGATCTTCCTTTTTTTTTTAAACCTGCGTCTTATCTGAATGATTTGAGTTCTATTTTGCATAATTTGTCTATGGTTTTAGGTGTGAGATGTTATCAATGCTTTCTTGTTAGTTGGTGATTAAACGGGTTGAGATAAGAATGGTGAAATGCAAGACAGAGAGAATGGGGGAGGGGGTTGATGTTAAAGAAGTGTTCATTAGAGATTTAACGTGACCGTAACATGTTTTGCGCTGAGAAATGGATACATTTTTGTCATTGTTATTATGAACAATACCTACCTGTATTTCAAAATTATAGTTTTCAGTTGCCATGGTGAGTTACGAGAAGGCTGGTCCCTTTATTTGAAATCTAAATGTTCTTGTTATTATGTTCATTAAATTCTGAATTATTGTGACATATATAATTAATTTACAATAGTTGAACCACTAGTTAAAAGGTTTTTTTATGTCTAATGACTGTGGTTCTCACACTGTGGGAAATTGTCTTTTTTGTATTGTAGGTTGGGCTCAATGTGCTTGTAAAGCGAGCAAGCGCATTCAGACACACCACCAGAATGTTGATACAACGTTTTGTGCCTTTTCCTGCCGTCGGTATGATAATTTTCTATTTTTTATTTGTGAGCATTGTTCCATGATTTCAAAAGCATTGTTACTACTCTCTTTATATGATTTTGAGATTTCAAGGCACAGATAAATCTATCAACCCTTTGATGATGTGTAAACTGCTTTTTACAGAGCTGTAGACATGTGTGGAAAATTTTGATGTGCATTACCAATTACCCTATTTTCTTATCTACTAGTTAAGGAAAGAACTCGAATGGAAACCATAGTTGAAAAAAAATGACTTCCGCTCAGATTCATTTTACTGTGAATACACAACTATCTAGAAAAAAATTGGTTCTGATTTGTTTTTTTTTTTGCTGTCTCTTCAAATGTAAAGATTTACTTTGCATTTGCCTTCTCAATATATTTACATAACTTATTAATGTTACTTTCAGCCATTGCCAGTTCATGCAACGTTTTGCTGATGAGGAACAGTGAGCTGTCTGAAGGCATTGAAGTGTTGGACAAGTCCAATAATATCATAGGCACCTCAAAAGTTGCAGCTAAAAAGGTAAATGGCTGCATATTATTAGTTATTAGATAATTTTCTCAATGTAATTTGCTTCCTCAAAAATTTTGAGGATACAGGGGGGACATGTTTTTTTATAATTAACGAAATCAGGGGGAAGAGAAACTTTTCAGACTAGTGGCAGTGCCTATTTCTAAGGTACTCGCATTAGCTCTGCTTCCTCATTCATTATCTAATCAGAAATAATTGTCAAATAGTTTATATTTTTCCATAATTTCATTTTTTTACATGAGGTTTTTGTTACCAAGATGCACATCTTAGCTCCCAGCTAAAAGAAGGATGGGTGCTGTATGGTAGAAACAGTGTTAGTTTTATGATGACAAAGCTCACTCCCTTTGTTGCTGAAAGGGTATGAGGAATACAATGTGTAGAGATGTAGATTTAATTTTTAAAATTTTTTGAAAGTGGACTAATTTTTTTTTTTACATTAATATTATCAGTTCTTTTGTATTGTAAAAGATGCAACAGTAGTCTAAAGATTTGCTCATACACTTCATTTTCCAGTTTTGCACGAAGAGTAAACAAGAACAGCAGCTATTATGTTTGCTTTTGCAGTATGATTGTCCCATGAAGTCATTGCTCCTGGTTACTTAAAACCTGTTGTAAAGTTGTTCTGCAATAAGTACTAATACATGAAATTTGTTGGAAAGGTTAACATATCAGTATTTATGGATTTTCTTCATAGCAATAACTGTTTATCCTTGTTTTAACCAAACTTTCTGGGTGATTGATGGGTACTCGGGTGTGGTTTGTTCCTTCTTTCCTATCAAACGTCTGTCATCCTGATTTCTATTTCTTCTTTTTTTTGTGTTTGTTGCTCTTTTGTAACACCTCTAATCTTTAGCACTTATATGACCTTACTGTATTGCAAGTGCCATAAAACGCTTTCTGAAACTAAAACTAAATCAAAATTTCTTGCTTTTTCCCAGGCATTGACGGAGACTGCTATCACAAGAATGTTCCTTCCAGCTCCCATTTTGCTCATTCCTCCAGTGGTTATGTCGTTTTTAGAGAAGTAAGTGGAAGAAAAGTCAACGTACTTATTTGCAGTTGTGTATCCTGTCTGACTTGGGGATACTTAAGATTTAGTTGTGGTTGGTTGACTTGTGCTCTTGTGTGGTGTACTACCTCATTCCTATCAAATATCTGTCTTTATCTCTCCTCCTTTTTGTGTATGTTACTCTCTAGTGACTAGTCTTCAGCACTTATATGACCTTTGTGTTGCAAGTACCATGAAACTTGTATTAAAATTTTTAAAATTTAGTAATATTTAAATGGACAAAGAGAAAATTTTGATTAGATGATCAGAAGACAGAGAAGAACTTTTTAAAGGTGACTTAGGGAAAAACTGAAATAAAGAAATAAATGAATGAACCACCAATGTTAAAAGAAAAGAAATAGCTGCCATTTTGAAAATGAAAAACAAGGAAAAGCTACAGGGCCAGAAAGTGTTCCTGTTATAGTGATTACTTGATTCAAAGAATAGGTAAGTAAATTAACAAAATAAGCTGTAATATAATATCTGTCACAGTGATGTGGTCGCAGAAGATTTGATTCGAACAGTTTTTATATCTTTGCTTTGTTCACCAGGTTCCACAGAGTGTGAGTTGCGTAGAACATAATCTTTATGTCATTTTAAAAAAAATTTACCTTGAGGAAAGAATGAGGAAAAGTGTAAGAGCAGCGATATCTAGATCACAATATGGCTTTGTACCCATAATAACAGATTCATCTTATCAAAGTTCATGGAAAGATATATTGTAGCACGGAAAAAAATTATATTCATCATCATCAGTGGGTTGTTGGCAGGTGCTCTGGTGTGGTTTGCCTCTTTTTTCCTATCAAACATCTGTCGTCTTTATCTCCCCTCCTTGCTTTTTTTGTGTTTGTTACTCTCTTGTAGCATCTCTAATCTTCGGCACTTATATGACCTTATTGTGTTGCAAGTTCCACAATACACTTACTAAAACAAACATCATCATTATCACTATCACTGCCTTTCTTGCCCTTCGTCAGGGTGCTTGCCCTTCATCTGGCGTCGGTGGCCTAGTGGTTAGGCTCTCGGACTCGCAACCGTAAGGTCGTGGGTTCGAATCCCGTCAAGGGCCCGACGTTGTGTCCTTGGGAAAGGCACTTTACACGAATTTTCCTCACTTCACCCAGGTGGGAATGGGTACCCGGCTATGGACAGCGAAAGATCTTGTCAGTTTGTTAGTGTTTGAGCGCTTAATCGGCTGCTCGCACTGTATGCTTCCCGGGAAGCTGAGAATGTTTCGGAGTGTTCTATGGTCTGCTGGGGTAATAATATAGTGTAAAGCGCATAGAGCCTGCTGTTGAGCGGGGATATGCGCTATACAAATGCTATCTATTATTATTATTATTATTCATCTGACCGCGAACAAACACATTCCTCCTTCCTTTTGGTATTCCTTGTCTTCCCACCTTTTTGTACATAATTCTCTTCGGCTCCACTTTGGACTCTATGTGGCTGTCCCCTTGATCTCGTACCCTGTGGATTCAAATCTAATTTTATATTTATACTTTATTAATTATTTAAAGGTTTTTAATAATGTTAGGCACAATGAACTATTTAAGATTTTGGAAGAACTGGACTTGAATGGAAATAATGCTCCCAATTACCGGGTTCCCAGATGAAGATTGCTGTTTTCTGTCTAATATCTCTATCTCTCTCTTTGGAGGCGCACAGTCAGAATGGCCCCTCTTTTAACAATGTAGGTAAAATATTTATACCCTTTCTAGGGTGCTTTAGCTTTTACTGTTTAGTGTTGAAACATTGTACACACACACTCACGTTCACGCACAAGAATGAATTTTGCAATAGATTTTAGATCTGACTTTTTAAATATCTCATAGCCTTAACATTCTTTAGTATCAGTACTGTGTATTTGTCTAAGTAAAGTCCCCCCTTCAATATTGTCTTGCAGGAGAAAGTTCCTGAAAAAGTATCCAAGATTGCATTTGCCTGTAAATGCTCTTGTGTGCTCCCTGGCTTTTGCCTTCGCCTTGCCAGTTGCCATTGCCATGTTCCCACAATATTCAGAGGTGAGTAGTTTGTTTTGTTCTAATTCCAATTGTTTTCACCTCAAAAGATGTCCATAAATCTTGGATTCTCGGATTTCCCTTTTCAATGTAAAGAGAAACGTTCACTCGATCTTCTCATTGTGGGGTTGTTTTTTTAAGTGACCAAAAGAATGTTTCAGGGGAGTAGAAATTATGCAAGATAGTCTTCCCACTTTATCATTGCTCCACCAGTTTTGCACTAGCAAACATTTCATTTGATGAACTCACAGATACATTCCTCTTTCACACAAACTGCAAAAATGTGTCGTGCTAAAGGATAAGCTGGTGTATACAGATGTTGCAGAGATGGTTCTGTGTGTGTGTGTGCTTTCAGCGTTTGTGGCAGAAAGAAATAAAGACTTTGTTGAGAAGGGAGAAGTCAGACGAGTCAATGATATCAGAAATGCCTTTGTGTCAGCTAAGTATCTCTGCAGGGAACAAGTTTAAAAAATAATTTTTTTTGGTTGTTTTCAATGTTTTCATCTTCTCTTTGACATTGTAACGGCATATTAGGAATGGAAAGCTATTAAGTCCAAGCTCCAGGCTTTAAAAAAGATAATAAAAATGAGTTGATACAAACGAACATCAGTTTTATGCATCAATTTTACATCCCTGTATTGGCTGGTAAAGTGTTGCCTCCGAAACCTTCAACAACACTATTACTTCACAAAGTGCAATATCAAAAAAGCAGTTTAATTAAACTGTTTCAGTGTCTTTAAAACTTTTTATTAGCAAATCCATGGTCAGTTAGAACTAGAAAGTTCACAAAATTGACTTGGCTTTGCTCGCGAAGTGTGGGAGGGTATGTTTGCATGAAGACTCCCTTCCTTTACGAAGTCAGTGTCGCCATGCACTTTAATCACTGCTCGCAAGGATACAAACTGCCCTAAATTTTAATCAAGGATGTTATGGGGTTGATTTTTTGGATGAGTCGTGGAAATCTTTGACAATGACATTGCTGGAATCTAAAAATAGCCGTTATTGTGTTGATGTGCCTCCCTTATTAGAACAAACAAAGAAATAAAAAAGGAGAGTGCAGGAGTCTTGAACCAAGCTGTTGATTTGTTCATTGGGTTCTTGAACTCCACAAATATTTATAGGGGAAAGCACCCACCGATTACTGACAACTATTTTCATCTTTTTTAAAAACGAGTTATTGCCCTTGTAATTGAACACACTTTTCTGATGTATATTTCTCTCTCTCTCTCTCTCTCTCTCTCTCTCTCTCTCTCTCTCTCTCTCTCTCTCTCTCTCTCTCTCTCTCTGTCTCTCTCCCCCCTCTCTCTCTCCCTCTCACACACACACACACTCGCGCACACTTCAAATACGAAGTGTGGGTGGTTGGTGGGTGCTCTTATGTGGTTTGCTCCCTCTTTCCTATCAAATCTATCACCTTTATCTCCCCTCCTTTTTTTGCGTTTGTTACTCCCTTGTAACACCTCTAATCTTCGGCACTTATGTGACCTTATTGTGTTGCAAGTGCCGTAAAACTCATATGAAACACAAAACAAAATACAAAGTGAAAGCAGTTGCGTTAAATTAAGGGAATATTTGTAGTCCATTCTGTTAGGAGCTCATTGCATTTACGTGAGTGGTTGGTGGATACTCTGGTGTAGTTTGCTCCTTCTTTTCTATCAGCCATCTATTGTCCTTATCCCTTTTCCTCCTATTTTGTGTTAGTTACTCTTTTGGAACACCTCTAATCTTCGGCATTTATATAAGACCTAATTCTGTTGCAAGTGCCGTAATACTCTAACTGAAACAAACAAAGTTAGTTTTCTTTCACGTCTCCTGGCTTTACAGGGGATGTCAATGTGGTCTTGTAAAGATGAAAAGACTCTAACGGAACTTCTGATACTTGTAGCTGGTACCTGGGCAGTAAATGTATCATAGATTAAAATCTTAGCATGTGGAAGCAGTCAATGTTGTCATCCAATTTTTCAGCATCCCAAAGTTCCCTGTTACAATGTACTCTGCTCCAATGTAATTAATGTAAGTTGTTTGATTTAAATAAACTCCAAACTGGGGAGAAATGAATGATCTTTGCAATGAATATTCTATTTTATTGAAGAAAAGATTAATTGCTGGGGTTTCATGAATTTTCTGCTATGACTGTAAATATTACAGCGATGCTGTCTGCCAGCTGAACTGGCCCGCCGAATACAAAGAGTTCACTACTTTCATGGCTAGCCTTGCTGTATGTGGTTGGTTCGCAGGTGTTCTGATATGGTTTGCTCCTTCTTTCCTATTACACATTAATCGTCGTTATCTCTCCTCCTCTTTTGTTTGTCACTCTCTTGTAACACAGTAACGCCTCCAATCTTCGGTACTATATGACCTACTTGTTTTGCAAGTGCCGTAAAACTTACGAAAGCAAATAAAACAAACAAGTGTTGATGTGCAATTTTTTACTCAATCGAGACAAACAATTACGTCTCATTTCAAACTTTTTCCTTTGGTACTACACACGTTGACATTATGAAAAGGACAAGGAAATGGTGAGTGGTTGGCGGGTGCTCTGGTGTGATTTGTTCTTTCTCTCTTTTCAAATGTCTATCGTCCTAATCTCTCTTGATTCTTTTAGATTTGTTTGTTACTCTTTAGTAACTCCTCTAATCTTCGGCACTTATGCTACCTATTTGTGTAAAATACTCTCACTCGCGCGCAC